ATATCAATAACTGAGCTAAAATTCGTTGTGCATATCTCCTGTCACTTTAAATAAATAATCCCTATTGATTTGTCGCATCGAGTGAATCGGCTATCTCTTAAAATTTTCTGCATTAATAATAAAATCTGCTATTGTTCTAAAAAATGTTTTCTGCATCTTATAAAATGACTGCTTAAGAAATATTTCTGCATTAATCACAACCTGATTTCTAATTGTTGCACTTCATTTTTTCTGCTTAAGAATATATTTTCAATATTAATAATCGATGTGTAAATCTGTTGCTATTTTAAAAAATAATTTTCTGCATTAATAATAAATTTGTCACTTATCTAAAAATTTGTTGTATTAATAATAAGTTTATTGGTATTTTTAAAAATAATTTTCTACCTTAAATGAATAAAATCTGGTGTTCTAAAAGATAATTTATGCATTAATAAATAAAATTTGTTACTTTAAGATGCCCTCAATTAACTAGTTTCTGTATACTAAACACTGTTTCTTTAAATAATTTGTTGCATTTATAATATTCTTTTATTGCTTTTGAAATAAAATCTTGCATTTGTAATAACTTGTTTTTTCTTATTTTTTAAAAACAATTCATGACTTTTTTTTTTCTGTCCTGCTATTAACTTTGTGTCTCTAAAATTAATTTATGCTTGCTCGTTTGTATGCTCACACACTTAGCATGAAACCTTTCACAATTATTTGTTGTTTGCGAGCATGTTTATTTAAATTTAGAGGCCAAATTGAAACCTACCGTGCTAAAATGACCAAGTTATTTGTCTTGCATGTTTGACTTGGTGTCTAGGAGGGCCTTATATTCTATTTTGTCTAAATCCACCCTTTAAGAGTCCAATGCCTCTTGGACAATAAAGTTGGGATGATTAGGCACCTTTTAGGTACGAAATACATGCGATGGTTGGGTAGGGGTAGATGGCCCTACGGAGATGATGACATCGACTCAGGCTTGAAAGACAAACTTTGGTTTTTTCTGTCCCTATACGGCAGCCTATCGAAAAACAAAATGAAAAGTCAAGTCCTGATCTAAAAGTCTCTTTTGAGTCTCCCTTCACATTTTACCCTTTTACTTGTTTAATAATTATTTTTGTTTGGGGTAGTTTAAAAAATATAAAATTGTTTGCTTATTTATTTGTCTCTTTTCTATCCTCTCGCTTATTTCTTTATTAATTGTTTAGTATATCTATTTTATTGTTATTGCTTAGCTCACATATTTAAAATTAATATAAGATAGTCTTAATTGTATTTTATTTGTCATTATTTAGCAAGCTTAAATAAATTAACAAATTAAGTGACTTTATTTTCCACTTGTGACCCCCATATATTGCATGAAATACGGCCGGGACCCACATTTGTGGACCTCGAGGGATGCCTAACACCTTTCCCTCGAGGTAATTTGAACCCTTACCCTGATCTCTGGCTCGTTGACCTTAGCTAGACTTAGTTAGGTTAGATAGGTGCCCTAACGCACCTTAATTCGTTAGGTGGCGACTCCAAACTCAAAATTCCAAAAGAGTTGTTAGGTCGTGCACAAAACCCGTTTTTGCGAAATGCGAAAAATGGGGTGTGACAGTTGTTAAGTGATTTGATCAAAGGAAGGGTATTGACTTTGACAAAATACTTTATTTTGTTGTGAAAATATTCTCGATTCACACAATTCTAGATTTGGTTGCTAGTCTTAATATAGAGATTGAGCAGATAGATGTGAAGATGACTTTCCTTCACGGTGATCTAGAAGAAGAGATTTATATGGAATAATTTGAGGGCTTCAAAGTAGATGATAAAGAAAATTTTGTGTGCAAACTTAGAAAGAGTCTATATGGCCTAAAGAAAGCTCCTAGACAATGGTACAAGAAGTTTGAATCTGTTATGGAGGAGCAAGTCTATAAGAAGACTTCTTCAGATCATTGTATGTTTGTACAAAAATTTTCTGACAATGATTTTATCATCCTTTTGCTGTATGTGGATGATATGTTGATTGCGGGCAAGAATACTTTGTGTAAGTCTTATTCTGTGAAAGACTTGGGTCATGCCAAGAAAATTTTAGGAATGAGAATTACTTGTCTCAGATATGAAAGAAAAATTTATTTATCCCAGAAGAAGTACATTGAACGTGTATTGGAGCGTTTCAATATGAAGAATGCTAAGCCTGTTAGTACACCTCTTGCTGGTCATATGAAGATGAGCAAGAAGATGTGTCCTACAGCTAGGGAGGAAAAAGAGAGCATGACCAAAGTTCCATATTCCTCCGCCGTCGGAAGTCTAATGTATGCAATGGTGTGCACTAGATCTGATATTGCTCATGCAGTTGGTGTTGTCAGCAGATTTCTCAAAAATCTGGGAAAAGAGTATTGGGAAGTTGTGAAGTGGATACTTAGATATGTTAGAGGAAGCTCAGATGAATGCTTGTCTTTTGGAGAATCAAATCCAATTTAGAAAGACTATATAAATTCTGATATGGCAGGTGACCTTGATAACAGAAAATCCACTACTGAATATTTGTTTTTTTTTCAGGGGGAGCTATTTCATGGCAGTTGAAGCTGCAAAAGTGTGTTGCACTATCTACAACTGAAGCTCAGTATATTGCGTCTACTAAAGCTGGCAAGGAGTTGATATGACTCAGACAATTTCTTCAAGAGCTTGGTTTGAATCACATGGAGTATATTGTCTATTGTGACAGCTAGAGTACAATAGATTTGAGTAAGAACTAGATGTACCATGCAAGAACAAAATACATCGACGTCAGATATCATTGGATTTGTGAAGATTTGGAGAGTGAATCATTTCACGTCAAAAAGATTCACACAAGTGAAAATCCTGTGGATATGCTGACCAAGACGATATCGAAAGACAAGTTCGAGTTATGCAAAGAACTTGTAGGTATGAGTTCTCTCTAAAGAAGATGAAGATACCTCCTTCCAGTGAATAGGACTGGAGGGGGAGATTTGTTTAATCCATCCCATTTTTTGATCAACTTTTGCTATTCAAATGCTACAAGCAGTTGTTAAAAAGGAATAGCAATTGGAGTTGAAAATAAAAGATTTGGTGGTTGACATATTGATAAGATTTGCAACCATTTTTTACTTTACTATATTAACCTATGTCATTAATGACATAGGCATAATTTTATTCTTCTATAAATAGAGCATTCTTTCTTATTTGTAGAACATACTAAATTAGAGAGAAAAACCTTTTTGAGAGCAAAGCGAGGTATTCCATAGACTGTACAAGAAAAATAGTTTGTTAAGAAAAATATAGTGTGAGCGATATTTTAGTAAGATGGAAACCAAAAGAGTGTTGTTCTTTTTGAGTGTATAGTAGTCACTTTGAGTATTGTATTCGTGATTACACAGTGTAAAATTCCTTATATAGTAATATCAGTGTCTCCTCTTGACCCGTGGTTTTTCCCTTATTCACAAGGGTTTTCACGTAAAATTCTTGGTGTCATTATTTTTTCATTTTATTTCTTTTACTTTTACCATACATATATATTTGTATTTATCCGCATTTTCTCAACATATTTTATTATTTCTATCTTTTTAAGATTCAGTGGTCTCTTTAAACCAGTTTTATAATTCATTGTTGTTTTTCTCAGCTTACCCTATTTACTAACCTAGTTAAATAAAAAATAGATAGACTTTTGAATCAGTTCCGAAATTATACCTTAACACCTGAGTCCCTTTTAATCTGATCAATTAATTTATTTGTAGAGTCACATTTATATACGTATAAAAAATATTCATTTTGTCTTGTTATATTTTTCTTAATATTAAATTTAGTTGATTGATTTTATTGATAGAAAAATCTAAGTGGAGTGATTTTATTGATACAAACCAAAGTTTCATGACTTTGTTAGATTAATTCTCAATATTAAGTGACCTTTGAAGATTTTACTCATTATCTTTTCAATCTTTCTTTCTCGTTTCAAATATATTTCTCCCTTTTTTTCGCTCTTTCAAGAAGCTCTGTTGTATCTATTGAGAGAAAAATTGACAGAATCAATTTAAAACCAAACAAACCCAACTGATATATAGGAAAAGTTACATTAAAACCTCACTAAAATGAATATAATATAAGTGAGATCGTAAAATATTTATTACTTTATTGATGAATTATTTAATTGATAAGTCAATCTTTTATTAATTTTAAGAATGTTTTGACATCATAAAATTCATTCAGGTGTGAAATCTCGAAGAATTTGAATATGTACACTTATGAAAATCTCATTTATGAGCTTGAGGTCATTATTAATAATTTCGATTATTGCAATAAAATGGAAAATTACTAACGTGTTGGATGGTTTAAAATGATACATTTTTAGAGGTTCAAAGATTAGAAGAAATTTATCATTCGAAAAACAATGTTGATGATAGATATGAAGAAGATACAACACCTTTGGGAACCAGTTATGTGTAATGAAACACTCATCACATCTACACTTTTCACAATTTTAGGGAGCGGTCCAAAAAGACAACATCAAAGCTGTTGATAAAATAAGAAAAGTCAAAGATGAGCTTCAACGAGATTCAAATCACTATTAACAGAAAACAGAATAAAATAGAATCATATTTACCAAATTGTCTTAGATATATTGTACTTTTAGAGAATTATTAATTTATAATATTAATGAGACCATATATCTAAATAGGAGACTTCTGAAAATACATTATCTTATTGAAATGAGTGATTTTTTCCGTCTGACCCAGTCAGGACTGGAAAATATTTTATCTTAGAGATACTAATAATTAATCGAGTATTAATTTAGTGAGGTTTTACGATATTTATGCTAATGCCTTTTAAAATAAATAATTATTGGTTTTAATATATTTTTTATTTACTGTCTCCGTCTCAATTTATGTGGTACTTTTCGTTTTTCAGGAGACATTTTAACTTTGATTAGAAATTCACGTATTTATAAATTGTCACGATCCAAATCGAGTCATGAGTGGCGCAACACTTAACCTCCTAGGTGGGGGAATCAATGAATTTAACCCCAACTTATATTTATCATTCAATTTACAAAATACTAACCATGATACGGAAGCTTAAATCTAATGTTAGAAACACAAATCAATTAAAGTCTACTAAATGTAATTTCCAAAACCTGAAAGTCATCACATCAAGGATATCTAATCTCCAAATACTAAGTCTAAGGACACCAAAATAAAGAACCAGTTAGGTTGTATCCGAAACTAAGGACATCATGTCATGACCGAGAGAATCCAATATGAGATCGAATGATTAACTCACCCTGGAACCTGATGTTGGAGAACTTGATAGAGCCGAGAGAGATTCAAAGTCATTGGTACACTCGCTGCACTCCAAAAAACAGAAACAAAGAAAAACGCAAGTAAGGCGTAGTACATGGCAATATGTACTGAGTAGGTATCATCGGTCAACCCAAATTAAAAACTAAATATGCAATGAATAGATAGTATAAAATCAACTATTACACTTAGCAGGTGGCAAACAACAAACAACATAAACCAGTGACAAGAACACTAAGTGTGTATGTAACCAATCAACAATATCAAGAACATACTTGAGGACTCATGCCTCCAAACTAAGCAAATTTGAGAATTGAGTTATTTGAGATTTAGTACATTATTTTGTTTATATATCTTTTCTTTTAATGTTATTGTGTCAAAACCTGAAACCCCGATTCAATAATGTTGTGTCAAAATGTGATACTCCGATTCAATAATTTTGTGTCCGAACGTGAAACATCGATCCAATAATATCGTATCGGAGTGTGACACCCTGATCCAATAATACCATGCTGAAACGTTACACTTGATCCAATAATGTCAGTAATTTATTATTTATTATCATCACTTTTCACTTCATTAATAACAGTTCACCAAGCCTTCTTTATTCAAGACATCACTTCGATATAGAGGTTTCAAGATTATAAGTTCCCGTACTCAAGATTTCAAATCAATCACAAACCTCACAACCAAGCCACACAATCGCACCATCACGTACAGAGAGAACTTCACAATATCACTCAATGCATATCAATCACTATTAAGACTTTATCTATTAAATAGAATAAATCATAACTTACCTTCACCGAAAAACCAAAGTCAAACAAGTTACTTCTTCATTACTTTTCCTTTCGTCAATACCTCTGAACAATTCCAATCTATGCAACATACGTAATTTGTAAATTAACAAGTCTATAGACACACATATTACTCTATGTATAGCCTAGACCAAAAATGATCTAACACAAATCTATACTCATGTTCCTAATCTTGAAGTTCATTGATATGTCAAGTCTCTTAAATCTTATATTCAAACCTAAGGTTAAGTCTTTATTTCTCTGAATAACATAATCTTAATTATATCCAAATAATATACAACATTTAATATTTAATTATCTATCTCAATATATCAAATTCGATTTATATAAAATTAATAAAAATTATAATATCTACAGCTGGTGACGGCACGAGTGGCAGTCAACACTTCCATTTGCAACCTAGTATCTTCATCACTCTATTAATGCCATGTTGCACTATTAATTCTTTAGTAATCATCAAATAATTATTACCTACCAACCTTGCCCAACCTCAAACTAAACTCTAACCGTAAATAGTTCTTTTTGTTTATAATTGTTGAACTTGTACGTATTAATATGCAGTGGCGGAGGTAAGATTTTTATCGAGGGATTCAAAAAATAAGCAAGCATATTAATAATATTCAAAAATAAGCGGGTGAGATCGAGTCAAGTATAAACGGAAGGGGTGGGTTAAAAATAAATAAGTATGATTTGATTTAAGCAACTGAAAAAATTCAACTCTACCTCAACACAAACTATAACATCACAAGGTATGCTCTTCTAATAACATCACAATGATTTGGTTGATAATTCAATATTGTAAATCTTTCACCAGGGTCAAACTTTAAAGTACTCAAATCAAATTCTTGAGAAGTATGTGATGTTTCTTTTGAATGATTGATATTTTCTTCTTGGTTAGATTGACTTTGACTATGAGAGACTAAACTTAGTTTCTTTACTGGGGTAAAATACTTCTTCATTGAATATTAAGACTGAATTATAAAGTAAAAATTTAGTTAGAATTTAAGAGAAATAAACACACAATAAGAACAATTAAAGAAAAGTGCACACACGATAAAGACCAAAACCAAAAAGCTTAAGCAATAACTGTTTATCTATCTCTCCAATATTAGATTAAGAAAATATATTAAATTAGCGAAACAATGAAATTTTAATGATATCAATATATTAGTCAACAAAAAGAAAGCACATCACGAAAGAACGAAATAAGGTATATAAAAGTTTAGTAAGAAAATAGGGAACCAAAAACTTATCGAAGTAGATATCAATGGAGAAGAAAAAAACGACTGGTATAGGCTTCAAATTTTCGATAACGATCAATCCAACAGAAGTAGCAAGGAGCAGCGACAAGCAGCACCCACCAGCGTTCAAGGTAGCAAGGAACTGGGAAGTGGGAAGAGAGATGAAAAATAAAACTGGAAAAATCCTAGAAGAACAAAGTGGTTTTTAAAAATTTGACTTTGTAATTATGAATTAATCTAATAAATCCTAAATTTCCTCTTTTTTTTGGAACTAAAAGTCAATTTTCTGATTGTATTATTATTTAACAAAATAAAATTAAAACGCCTAAACAGAAATTGGGAAAATGCTGAAAAATAAACCTGAAAAAATTACCTTGGTTGGGGCTCGGACACGCAACCTCACTTTCTCCAGCGAGAAATCTTGAACCCCCAAAGCCACTAAGCTACGCCTTTGGTGTACATTAAGAGGGTTCAACATTATATATATACATATAAATTAAAAATTTAACCGTATATATAGTGTAATTTTTCGGTGATGGGGGTTCGGAAGAACCCCTTGCTCTAACATAAATCCGCCCCTGTTAATATGTATTAAAAATATTCAATACCTTGGATGAATATTTTTAGGCGAAAACTTAGCCGCGTCAATTTTGTTTTCGTTCGACGCCGCTTTTTTGTTGTTCTCCTCTTCCGCTTATTCTTTCTTCTTTGTTTACAAATTATTTCTTTACCTAATTATTTTAAATGACCAATTATAAGATGTGGTAAAAATGACCCACTATTAATTTTAATGTCATTTTATTTTCTTTAAGCACCAACTAAATAAATTTTAAAACTATCACATTAACTCTGTAATTGTAGTTACGAATAATCCAAAATATCCATTTAAAATTTAACGGAAGTATTTTATAAATAAAAAATTCTATACTCAAAATGATCAAATGGGTCGTTACATTATATACCAAAATATCAATCGTTCGTCCTCAAACGATCAAAAGAAGGACAAGGATGAAAAGGTAGATGTCTTAGTGATTCCTTCCAAATATTAGTACCAAGACTTCATCTCAAAAGTATCACACCAACCAATTGGACATCTACACCCTCCCATACAATGACTCAAATGGAGCCATCTCAATACTTTAATGACAACTTATTATTGTATGTAAACTCAACTAATAACATAACTATTCCCAAATGGACTCTTCAATTACCGAGTCTTCCATAAGACCTTAGCACAACCATATGACAAATATTTTCTACCATATCCATAATAAAATTCTGAATCAATATTAGCTACAATAAGGAGTTAACCTGAACCAACCACAACACAATCATGACGCACAAATCATCATAGATCTTATTATGATTTTCTTTTCATACATTAACTTTCACGAGCTAACCCTATACCTGTGAGTTTTAGCTCCCCGCAATCCACCGACCTTGTCCTCAAAACAGACATACATATACTCTATTTATCAGACTTAGCATATCCTTCACAGCATCCTACTAAAGTCGACACTTTCAAATCGTCACTATTATCAATGTCTTCCTAGCAACCACATTGTCGCCTCTAAAAATTTTGAACTATGACTCCTTCTCTTTCCATGTAAGCATTCCATGACAGATACAAGTTTCACCTACAGATGATGCACTAATTTTTCAAATCTGCTAGTACTTTTTCATCAAGATAAAATTATTAAATCTCACCCATAATCAACTCCACGCAAACTTAAACATACCATATTTAAACTACCATTCCAAACCATTGCATAAATCACGCTAAAACTAAGAGAATACATGGTCACTCTATGTCGGACAACTGTAAATACTCATGGTAGCTCTTTTATAAATTCTCATAAGTAAGGTGAAACATATAGAACAACTGGAATACTCCATAAACCTAATGACAACACTACATATGTTATTTGAGATAATCAAGTCGGCTAAAACATTCATTCGACCCACAACTAGGGATCCACCCACAAAAGTCAAAGTATGTGTGTACATAGCTAGTGAATCATACTCCAACGCATCTACATGATGAAAATAGGTGGTCACATAAGAATGCATAGAACCAAGATTGAATAATACTAAATGCTTCCTCCAAAGAGTCCATGTCAAAAATTTCCATTTATTCCTTCACTTTTCTTTTAAAAAAATTCCATGACACAGAATTCTAAATATCTTAAATTTTTCAATACACCAAACACTTTTCCTTATTGCTGACTCACTTACCAATCCTATTGTTAGGCCAAATACCCTTCATTTTTAGCATCTAAACCAAAAAATTACATCAAACCCTCCTTAAGTCCTTTAACAATCAAAAGTAATCAAATTTTTTACTCAAATTATACACGTGTCCTTTAAAATGCTAGATATTCAATGTGATCAATCATTTCTTACTTTACTAGCCCATATCTTGACAACACATACTGCCTCAAATATAGACTCACAATGAAAAACTTGATATTTGATCCAAATTGTGTAATTCCATCCCGTTATCTATCAACATTAGCTCATGCTTTGAATATCCTTATGGATTGGTAACTTAGCTTATAATTGATCGCCTCTGCATCGATCTTACGGTATCCTTTGCTAAAAATTTCAGCATACCAGTTACGAAACTCATAATCATGAAAGAGCTTATCACCACACTCAAGTCTAACATGTGTAGACTTCTTTCTCAAATCTTATCCAACAATTTTCAATGTTTATGAATAACATGTAAAATTATCACAATAATCTTGGCAAAACGGATGGAGCCATGTGTTTGTGAATTCAATTATCCATTCTTTCATAAGATAAATCTTTGGCCCTTGTAATCAAAGTAAACATTCTTATTCCCTCGTATTTATAAAAGTTAAACTACATCCCACTAATTATTTCCATTTGTAACTCTTACTCCTTTCAATTCTATTTGACCGATGTTTCAAAACATTCTATAACTTTTTGTACGACCACACCACCACCAATTGGTGGTAAACGCCAACTTTAAATAACTGCAGGTTGTCATTAATATACTTAAGTCGTTTAGCCAAAAAAAATTTATTATATAGTCGCATCCAAGTCATAAATTATCAAAAATCTTATAACTGTTATGCTCGGTAATCATTGTCATCATCACGAAGTCAATCTTATTACCGACATGACACCTTAAACACACTTGTACCACCCAAATATCAAAAGCTAATACAATTTTATATGCACTTCATTACTAAAATCCTCAATACCTTCACACTATTATACTGACTTCTGTTACCCATAACATTAGCATTACGATATCAATCCACTCATTTGCAATTTATGATGAAATTCCTAGTCCTCATTTAGGATCCCCCGGATACACTTCACAACCAAAATACATTAATATTGTGCCAACTATCCATCACTAAAATCTTTCTTTAAAATAAACCTTAACTCAAGCGTATGTAGTAAAAAACTAGTTGATTTCTCAAATATGAATGCAACACTGACCTCATTATTTGAACACGTCATATAAGTGGTACTCCTGAAGTAGTTAGTATTCACACATTACACTCGACATATTCGTTTCCACATAACACTATATGAACCATGAAATCTTGTTATATACATCATTAGAACACATTATACCTATCGAGAAGATTGTACACTAATAACTAACACATTTAGATCCATTGAATAGATCTAAAACATTAATAAATTCATCATTATATTAGGTCGATAACAAAACTAACACACATCACAACTTTAACCAAGAAAATATCGATATTATTGTAGTAGTCGTATGATGACCTTTTGATATATGCTGAATGAAACAATAATAGAGATCCTGCCCTCAATTGCCTCAACATAATTTCATCATTCTCTAGACAACCAATATATGTTATGATAACTTTACTAATTGTATTTTCCAAAGTAATGGTGTTCATTATCTAGTCATTCCTTACGAAACTTCTTGAATGTTGTCACATTGGTAAAGTCATATGGCTTCACTCCCTCTACATCCTAATTCCTCAAATTCAAGAGTATATACTTCTCCATCAAAAAGATAGAAAATGCTAGCCAAGTCATACACCGGTAGGACTCAACACAAGACTACCACCACATTTTCACATCTCCCAAAATTAGTAAGTCAAAAAATCCACATCCAATCACTCTATGAAATTATCACGGCTGGACCCTCCAGGCCGTGCTGACACCCACTGTAAAAACTAAGTAGGAAAATCGTAATATCCCAATAGTTATAACATGCAGAAAATTTAATGAAACAGAGATAAATATAATAATATGATTTTATAAATAATATCTTTAAACACACTTTTTATCAAAACTTATAAAATAATTAACAACCCTAAGGATCCCATCTAAACAGGTACAAGAGCTATTAAGAGTACAACTAGACGAGAATAAATAAAGACACAACTCCCAACATGCAAAAGGAAAAGTAGAAGACGCTGAAGAATCTCTTCATTTTTACCTAATTAAACGTCACCAACCTACATCTAGACTATATCAAAAGCCCTAGCAAAAGTAGTATCACTACAAAAAAACATATACTGGTTGGAATCATTGTTAAACTGACACGCACCATATAAAATAAGAAACCACCTAGTAAGATCTGATACACTCGTTGCACTCCACAAAACGAAAATTAAAACATAAGAAAAGTACAAGTAGCGCTCAATACAAGGCTAGATGTACTGAGTAGGTATAAAATAAATACTAATATGCAATGAATAGATAGTATAAAATCAACTATGACACTTAACAGGTGGAAAGCAACAAACAACATGACAAACTAACAACTACAATAAAGTTTGTATATAACCAATCAGCACTATCAAGAACATAATTGAGGACTCATGCCCACAAACCAAGCGAATTTAGGAATTGAGTTATTTAAGATTGAGTACATTACGTTGTTTATATATGATTTTCTTTAAAGTTACTGTGTTGGAATGTTACATCCCGATCCAATAATACCATATTGAGATGTGTATTGTGATCCAATAATTTTGTGTCAGAACGTGACACCCCGATCCAATAATACCGTGTTGAAATGTGACACTCTGATCCAATAATGTCATACCGGAACATGATAGTGATTCAATAATTTTATTAAATTATCATTTCTTATCACCACTTTCACTTCATTAACAACAGTTCATCAAGCCTCTTCGATAGAGAAGTTTCAAGATTATAAGTTCATGGTCTCAGGACTCTTAGACCAATCACAAATCAGACAACCAAGCTACACAATCACACCATCAAGTACATCGATAACTTCAAGATAGCACTCAATGAATATCTGTCACTATTAAGAGCCTATCTATTAAATAGAATAAATCATAACCTACAGTCACCGATGAACCGAAGTCAAGCAAATTACTTCTTCAATGTTGCCTTTCCTCAATGCCTCTTAACACTTTCAACCAATGCAATTTACGTAATTTGTAAGTTATTGAGTCTATAGATACTCATATTACTCTATATATAGCCTAGACCAAAAACTCATCAAACATAAATCTATACTCAAGTTTCTAATCTTGAGGTTCATTAATATGTCAAGTCTCTTATTTTTTATATTCAAGCCTAAAATTAAATCTTTATTTCTCTGAATAACATAACCTTAATTGTATTTAAATAATAAATTTTACTTAATATTTAATTACTTATATCAATATATAAAATTTTTGTTTACAAAAAAATAACAAAAATTATAATATCTACCGCTAAAGCCACTGGTGCCGACACCAGTGGCAGTCAACACTTCCAATTGCCAACCTAGTATCCTCATCACTTTATTAATGCCATGTTGCACTATTAATTCTTTAGTAATCATAAGAAAATCATAAGTAATCATCAAGTAATTATTATCCATAACCTCAAACTAAACTCTAACCTTAAATGCTTCTCGCATACAATTTCGCCCCACAATAATAATTGTTTAACTTGTACGTGAGCTTTTATTTTTTTAACAATTTTTTATACGCTTTTTGTCTTACGTGACACACTCCGTGACCCCACACAATTGAGGCAAGTGGAGATATTTAATGTCACGTAAGCCAAAAAGGTGCACAAAATTACAAAAAAGAAAAAAGTTCAGAGTGAGTAATAGGACCTTAGTTTAATTAAGGTGTATCTCTGGGAATTCGGTCAGTGTCCGGGGTGGTATTTGTGCATTTTCCATAATTATTAGAAATGAGCAATTATAAGAAGTGGTAAAAGTAATCCACTATTAATTTTAATGTTATTTTCTTTAGGCATCAACCAAATATATTATTAAAACTAACCCATTAATTTTATAATTGTAATTATGAATATTCCAAAATACTCATTTAGAATCTATTGAAAGTATTTTATAAAATCAAAAGTTCTTGTACTCAATCTATGAGAAACTTAAGGTCAAAAATAAACTTTGTCTGAATCTCAAAATCTAAAAAGTGCCACATAAAATGAGACGGAAAAAATACTATTTGTATCAATATATAAATCTTTACATGCATTAAAAATAAATTTTGTACGTAAGATAGATGCATTATGTGTTTTATAAATTGTGCTCTATAATATATATTACAAGAGTTATGTAAAAAAATATTATACTATAAATGATAAATATTTTCTTAAATAACATATATATGCTATTTTTTCACTTATATACAATAATCACTACACTATACAAAATATATATTACAGTATAACACATGTTTTTAATAAATTATTGCTATATTTTAGTTTTTTATCGCTATAATCGACAATTAGACCTTAAATACCTGTTTTTTTTTAAAAAAAAATATGTGTTATCTTTCTAAGAAGGTAACTTTTCAAGTAGAATTATTTGTAAAGAGAACTACACATAATTATATCTAAAAATTGTAGGGATAATACTCAATTACCCCTAGTCTATACCCAAAATTTCTACGATACACCTTATCTTTGATGAGGTCCTATTACCCCCTCCAACTTTTTTTTAAGTAATATATTACCCCTTGCGTGCCTACGTGGCAAAAATCGTGATTTCACCCATCTAGAGCGCATGACTGCGGAGTGAGTGCAACTTTTGGCTAACAATGGCCAATAAAAATGAGCCACGTGTCAAAGCAATTTGAAAAAAAATTCAAAAATAAATTTTATTGCTTCACTCAAAGCATCTTCTTTCTCTTTTCAAAAAATAACCCCATGTTTATGGTTCTTCATTTTTGAAGAAGCTCCATCCATTATCATTCAAGCTCCTTGATTTGAAAAGGTAAAGTAAAATTTAATATATTCTTTACATTTTTTTATGTCGATTATTAATTCTTATTTTATGTCGATTATTAATTCTGAACTTGATAATTATATTAAACCAAATGATAAAATAATAAAAGATCAATATTAACAATTTGAAACAAAACTCATTATCTTTATTCATATAGATTTATTAATTATGGGGCATAGGGAGTGGGGTGGGACGTGAGAGAAGAGGAGTATATTTCATTAAAGTCACTTTATCGAAAACTGAAAAAGTGGGTCCCGGCGCGTGTTCAACAAACAAATCGACCTTGCAGATTATTTTTGCCACGTAGGCATGCAAGGGGTAATATATTACTTAAAAAAAAAGTTGGAGGGGCTAATAGGACCTCATCAAAGATAAGGTGTGTCGTAGGGATTTGGGTATAGGCTAGGGGGGTAATTGGGTATTATTCCAAAATTGTATTATAATGTTCACCAAAACAAAATGTCATTGCTATAGATGATAAATTTTCTTAACATATCAATGTAAGTTGCAACGATACAAAATATATAATACACGATATTGAGAGTTTTTTTAAAAGTAAATTATTGTATTACTTACTATGATTGATAATTAGAACTTTAAGTATTTTTTTTCTTTCAAATATGTGTTGTCTCTTGGAGAAGGTAATCCATTTTTCTTTTAAAGTAGAATTATTGTATACAAAACTACACATAATTATGTCTAGCACATTTTCGATCAGTTCAGTAATCATTTTATTATCCACAAAAAATATGAAAAGTTGCTGACTCATTTTTCCTTGACTTCTGTTTTCATCACACCCAAATTCAATCTAATTCATCAATTATGTATAATGATCCAGTTCCGTCGTTATAGAAAAGTCATCTGAAAATTTTTTTGAGTCGGAAAACTTTTTTGTAGTAACTTGAAATTTTTCAACCTAATTTAGATTTGGGCGAAATCAGAGGCGTCATTAAAGTCTAGCGAATGTGGTAACAATAGGGTAATCTAATTATGAATTGATCACATGAATAGATAGATATAACTTTAAGGAACCCATACTACTTTATGATTTTGAATTTGAGCGAATAGAACTCCCAGAATCGATCTTAACACGAACGGTTGTCGTTGGTGGAAGGTGTCTTTTGAAATGAGGTTATAATTATTAGTTTTCCCGCCGGTTTCGTGCAAGCCGCTGAGGTGATATACTCAATTACACCTCCCTAAAGAAGTATAAGCAATCATTATCAAGTAAAGAACCCAACTTGTAGGTTGAAGTTGATCGTATGAGAAATATGATTTAGACTTAAACTTAAGTTGCTATTATTTTCATTTAGCTAAATTATTTTCGAGACAAGTAAGTAAAGAGGGGGGGGGGGATGATTGATTGTTGTTAAGTAGCAATGAGCAGGATTTTAACTTTGTTGCTATCAATGAGAGAGAGTTACTAGGGAATATGTGTTCCTCATAAGCTCATAAGGGTAATCCTAATATAGCAAACCTTTCCTAGTGTGTATAATTTACTAACCTTACCTTTACATCACACTAGACATCACATCAATGTATGACTTAGTTTTCACCCTCACACCAATTAACATTAGACTATTAGATATCACACTAAATCTATGTTGATATTTCTTTTCATATTAACTATCTTTTTGATCTGGTAAGTAGCAACAAGACGAGTTCTAATGTTGCCCCGTTAAAAAGAGTTTTAGATGAAAGCATTATCAATGAATGCAAAGACACTATTCAAAAATTGTTTGGTTACTATTCATAATTTGGTAATCGCTAATGGTTCCCACAGCCTAGTTGTGGATTTACTTACTCATGATATCAAGATCACAATTCATATTTTTAGATAAAGAAATTATGAAACTACTAAGAAAATAATGAATACCATCCTCTAGACGTGGGTAGTCCCTGAAATATCGATTAAAAACCGACTTCCTAACTTAGGTCCGAAAAATCTTGGTCGCTATTCAGTTCCGACTTTTGGAAATTGGTATTTACTAATCTGTCGAGGTTAGTTTTAATTTAAGTCGGTAAAATTCATTATTTTATTTTTTGACTTCCGGAGGTCACTTTTATATATTTTTTTATTTTTACTATTTTTGTCTTCCGGAGGTCAGAGTATTTAATTCTCAAATATTGGAATATCGACCTCCAGAGTTAGATATGTGTTAATTTTATTTTTTCCAAATTTAAATTCTAACCTCCGGAAGTCGATATTTTTATTTATTTTTTTATTTTTGATATTTTGACGTTAGGAGATCGGTATTCTTATTTTTTATTTTTGAGATTTCGACCTCCAGAGGTTGGTAATTTTATTTCTTACTTTTGAGATTGCAACTTTCGGAAGTTGGTATTTTTAATTCTTATTTTTTTAGATTCTGACCTCGGGAGGTTGGTATTTTATTTCTTGTTTATTGGATTCGATCTCCGAAGGTCAGTATTTTTCTTTCTTATTTTTGAGATTCTGACCTCTGGAGGTCTATATTTCAACTTCTTTTTTCTTTTAGATTTTGACCTCCGGAGATCGGTATTTTTATTTCTTATTTTTTAGATTTCGACTTCTGGAGGTCGGTATTTTTATGTCTTTACTTTTAGATTCCGACCTTTGGAGATCGGTATTTTTATTTCTTATTTTTAAGATTCAAACCTCTGAAGGTTGGTAATTCTCCTAAAAAACTGGCAGCATTGAGCTGCAATTTTAGTATCCTACCTACATATTTATATCAAAACAACCCAAAGAATTCAAAATAAGTTATTTCAAAATAAACTTCATCCAATCCAAAGAATTTAAAATGAACTATTCTGAAATAAGCTTCATCCAATCAAAACAACACAATATTTTCATTATATATATTGAACTACTTAAAAATCAACATCATCCAACTTCAAAATAAACTAAAATATGATCAAACAATTCCAAAAATATAGAAGTCTAAAATGTCAAACAAATAGAACTACTCATCATCACCTACATTCTCCTTATCAGACTTATCATTCTCAACACCCTCACTCTCCTTGTCAGACTTATCATTCTCATCACCCTGCTGATCAGATCCATCACTGCATGCCGGACAGAAGGAAGAATATTTCTTTATTCAAAAAGAAAAGTTTATTGCGTCTGAAGCGCTGCATACCTCTTGTTCTCTCCTTCCTTTGGTACTGCAATCTCCATCTCTCTCTTTATTCTCTCTTCTTCTCTCTGTCGGCTACATCACCAAGCTGGACATGGAGAAAATCTATCTTACCCTCCATTGCAGATATTGTCTTTTTATTTCCGCCATTGAAGTTAGAGTATGATGAACCACAATATCATGCCTGCTTCTTTTGATATGTCTTTTCTAGACAGTTGTAGACTGAACCTTTAATCGGTTCACCTTTACTTTGTTTTCAAAGACTCTCACTTTCTTCTTGTGTAA